TCCTAGTAAGCAGCTTGGTCCCTGCCCTCCAAAGCTAGAGAAGAGACTAAGCTCTTGCTGGGTAGCCACCTATTTATACAGCCCAGCTAGGTCCCGATTGGTTATCTCAAGCCCTTTTCCGATTGTTGCTGCCTCCATGAGGTGTTTAACCCTTTATTACCCAGGATGAGACAACCACTTTGTCAGAAGCACAAAATTTATGACTATCTTCATCTGTTATCTCTACAACTTCAGCGTCTTCTGCTGGTACCACCAGCAGGGCTGCAACGAATATATATCAGACAGTAAGCTATCTGTACCAATAAAATAAAAAAAAGACTTTCTTCATCATCCAATGAAATCACGGGTAATTTCAGAGTCAGGACGAGCAACTTCCGGCAAGACTCCATAGACGAAAACATAACTTAGTTCATTTATGAAACAAATACTCCCATTCATCTTCACAACAAATGTGTCATTAGCATGGGTCAGTCATTATGACAAAGCTACATTCCACTCAGCAGAGTAGACACTGCTGGCAGGTTATTGTGTATGTGAGATGGAAATTGAACAGTGCGCAAAAAGCATTGAGGGGAAGTTAATTTGTAAGATTCTTATGGTTCATGCTGGATTTGCAATCACTGACCATTTACAAATCAAGACTGACTGTCTGTCTAAAAGATCTGCTCTAGGAATTATTTGGGAGGGGGGTCTATGGATTGTCTTGTATAGCAGATCAGGTTAGACCACACAATGGCTTTGGAAGCTACGAAAGATGGAGCTCAAAGAGCAAGATTTTTTTTCTAAGGTTGCCAGACTCAAAGCTGCTATGAATGGGCAGTAGGTGATCCCCTTAGCTTGGGGAGGCAAGTCCCCTCCCTCCCAGCCCCGTGCACCAGAGTCCAGGCCTCCCCCCTGTAGCCACTGCTGGCCCCAGCCCAGCCTAACCCCTATCACCTCTTCCTCCCTCCTTCAATGTGGCTGCTGTCCTTTGCCCCCTCCCTGCCCCACAGTAATGTTCCCCGCCAGCCCTGGCCCGGTGCAGCCAAAGTCTGCCCCTGTCCTGGTCTGCTGGCGGGCAGCACAGCTGAAGCCTTCCCCTAGCCACCAGAACCGGTGGGTGGCACGTCTGCAGCCTGCCCTGACCCCAGTGAGCAGCATGGCCACAGCCTGGCCCAGGTCTGAAGAGCTGGCCAGGGGCTGGGGTTGTACTGTGCCCTGACTGGCAAGGCCCCACCCTGCAGCCGAGCCACCAGCCCTAGCGCTGAGCCAGGTGAGGCTGTTCGGATACCCTCTGCCCATGCCCCGATGGGGCTCAATAGGGCAATGTCAGCACCTTAACTTTAAAAAGGCAACCACATAACCACTAAAAATCTTAGTCTCATTACAGTGCCTTCAATCAAGCCTCCCCGAGAGCTGGGCTGGCACAGCAAAGCCGCCTCTCGGGATGGAGGGTTAACTGAGGCGTCACTGCAGGCACTGTGTAACGACTACGATTTCCGCTCCCAGGGAGCCACAGAGTGTAACCTATTGTGGAGGGAGGGGATAGGCTGGGCCTGCCATGGATGGGGGTTGTGGTGGGCTGGAGCAAGCAGGGTGGTGCTTCAGCCCCTAACGGTTAACTGCAACATAAGAACGGCCACACTGGGTCAGACCAACGGTCCATCCAGCCCAGTATCCTGTCTGCCGACAGTGGCCAATACCAGATGCCCCAGAGGGAGGGAACACAACAGGTAATCCTCACATGATCTCACCCCTGTCACCTACCTCCAGAGAAACAGGAGCTAGGGACACCATTCCTACCCATCCTGGCTCATAGCCATTGATGGACCTGACCTCATGAATCTATCTAGATCTTTTTTGAACCCTGGTAAAACCTTTTTTGAACCCTGGCCTTCACCACATCCTCTGGCAAGGAGTTCCACAGGTTGACTATGCGCTGAGTGAAGAAAAACTTTCTTTTGTTGGTTTTAAACCTGCTGCCCATTAATTTCATTTGGTGACCCCTAGTTCTTATATTGTGGGAATAAGCAAATCACTTTTCCTACACCAGTCATGATTTTATAGACCTCCCCCATATCCCCTCCCACCTCAGTCTCCTCTTTTCTAAAATGAACTCCCCTCCCTCCTCAGTCTCCTCTTTTCTAAAATGAAAAGTCCAAGTCTTTTTAAACTCTCTTCAGATGGGACCCGTTCCAACCTCTCATCATTTTTGTTGCCCTTTTCTGGAACCAGTAAGTCAGATAACCTTTTACATCCCTACTAAGCAGACAACTTTAGTCACACAAGCTGAAATGTTTTGAGTGATCTTGAGCACATTGCAGAGGCCGTGTTAATTCAAGTGAGGCAGGCATCCAAGAGGCAATTTGGTTTGGGATATTACCTTAGAGCAGGGGTGGGGAACCTTTTTTGGGGTTGGGGCCGCTAACCCACAGAAAAATCAGTCAGGAGCCACACACAAGCAAGACAAAAAAACCCACCAAACCCTCACAGACGTGGCTCCCGACTGAGAAGGAAAGAGACATTCCCCATATTCCCCTTGCACAGCAGAACCTTGGGGGGCTGGAGCACCATTGCGGCTCCCCAATACCGAGGGAGAGCCTTGAGCCTCCAGGTCCGGATCCAGGCAACTTGGGGGCCGCTATCCATCCCCTGGGCCTGAGGTTACTCACCGCTGCTTTAGAATATTGACCTACTATTTTAATGGTGATCAAAGACACCTGACAAGACAAAAGGGAGGATTTGGATGCCAGATATTTGATTCTCAGATATTTTCTTCCTTTTACTGTGCTCATAATAAACTCAAAATCTTAGACAGGAATTTAGCAGAATTTCTGACAAGTAAAGTCACCTTCCATCTCAAAGTCAAATTTGTCAATGCATCGAATTATTACAATTTGCCCTCTGAAGTGTTTTCCTTTATTCTCCGACATATAAAAAAAGCATTGTCCAGAAAAATGAAAATGTATTGCCACAGCGTAATCTAGAGAGCACAGGGCAGGGGCCAAAACGCCTTGTTCTATTCTGAGTTTTATTAATGATTCACTGCCATAGAGTAATCTAAAGAGCACAGGGCAGGGG